TCCTGGGGACCGTCAAACACCACCACAATGACCAGCTTGAGCTGGTCTAGGCAGCAGCAAATAAAATATAATAAAAAGTTTTAAAAATAGAAAAATTAAAAATTAAATAAAAGTAACATAAAATTAATAAAAAAGAATTAAAAATAAGTAAAAAACAAAATAAAGACGAAAAGTGCCGTAAAGTGAAATGCTGTAAAGTTCCGTAAAGTGCCTTAAAGCATCGTAAAGGAGCATTGCCATAAAAGGTGCCGTAAAACATCACTGTCGTAAAGGTGCAATAAACAATCACTGTCGTAAAAGGTGTAGTAAAGCATCACTGTCGTAAAGGGTGCAGTAAAACGCGACTGTCGCAAAGCTGCCGTAAAGCATCACTGTCGTAAAGGGTGTCGTAAAGCGCGACTGTCGCAAAAGTTGCCGTAAAGCATCACTGTCGTAAAGGGTGTCGTAAAGCGCGACTGTCGCAAATGTTGCCGTAAAGCATCACTGTCGTAAAGGGTGTCATAAAGTGCGACTGTCGCAAAAGTTACCGTAAAGCATAACTGTCGTAAAAGGTGCAAGAAACCGCGACTGTCGCAAAGGTGCCGTAAAGCATAACTGTCGTAAAGGGTGCCGTAAAGCGTGACTGTCGCAAAGCTGCCGTAAATCGTCACTGTCGCAAAATGTGCCGCAAACCGCGACTGCCGCAAAAGCTGCCGTAAAGCACCACTGTCGTAAAAGGTGCCGTAGAGCGCGACTGTCGCAAAGCATCACTGTCGTAAAGGGTGTCGTAAAGCGCGACTGTCGCAAAAGTTGCCGTAAAGCATCACTGTCGTAAAGGGTGTCATAAAGTGCGACTGTCGCAAAAGTTGCCGTAAAGCATAACTGTCGTAAAAGGTACAAGAAACCGCGACTGTCGCAAAGGTGCCGTAAAGCATAACTGTCGTAAAGGGTGCCGTAAAGCGTGACTGTCGCAAAGCTGCCGTAAATCGTCACTGTCGCAAAATGTGCCGCAAACCGCGACTGTCGCAAAAGCTGCCGTAAAGCACCACTGTCGTAAAAGGTGCCGTAGAGCGCGACTGTCGCAAAGCTGTCGTAAAGCATCACTGTCGTAAAGGGTGTCGTAAAGCGCGACTGTCGCAAAAGTTGCCGTAAAGCATCACTGTCGTAAAGGGTGTCATAAAGTGCGACTGTCGCAAAAGTTGCCGTAAAGCATCACTATCGTTAAAGGGTGACGTAAAGCGCGACTGTCGCAAAAGCTGCCGTAAAGTATCACTGTCGTAAGATGTGCCGTGAACGGCGTCTGTCACAAAGCTACCGTAAAACATAACTGTCGTAAAGGGTATCGTAAACCGCGACTGTCGCAAAGCTGCCGTGAAGCATCACTGTCGTAAAAGGTTACGTAAAGCGCGACTGCCGTAAACTTAAACATCCACAACAGGAGTTAAGAAAACCTCTTAAAATGGACTTTAATGAATTACCCCAATGCTGCCCGTTCAGCCGTCTTTATCAGACTTTTAGGACAGAGTTGTTATTAAGCACTTTATTGTATCTCCCGCCGGGCCATGGCTGCCGCGGAGCCGGTCCCAGCCTGCAGGTCGCTGCTGGAGCCGTTCCTGCACGGGGGATGCCCGCAGCAGCCGCCCCGCCCAGCTCCGCCCCTGCTGTGGCCCCGCCCCTTGCTGCCCCTATGAGAGTACAGCGGGACACGCCCCCACCCCCCGTCGGACCCCGCGGCTCCGGTACCCACCCCTGCCGCCCCCGGCACCCCCGGTAGCCCCCGCCTCCCACCGCTGCCGCCGTTTCGCCGCAATTCCCCGGTCCCAGCACGGCACCGCTTGCGCTGGCACCGGGGCGCCCCAGCCCGCCCGGCCACCCCGTGCCCGCGCCGCGGCGTCCGCACCGGTGGCTGCGGCCCCTCCCGTGCCTGCCGCCGCTCCAGCGCCGCCCCTGCCCGCCGGGCCAGCAGCCACCCCGGCTCCCAGCGGCTGCACGCCGCTCCCAGCCGCTGCACGCCATGCCCCCCCCGCAGTAGCCTCAATCCGCTCCTCCCGCCACCCCGCGATCATCTCCCGCTGACGACGCCGCCCTGCCGCCGCCCGTGGGTGCCTTCCCCCTCCTGCTGCCGCCGCTGCATGGCGGGCCGAGCCGCGCCTTCCCCCCGGCAGCCTCTCGCTTCAGAGCTGCTGGGTGGCGCGGTTCCGCCGCCTCCTGCAACCACGGCCGTGCCGGCGCTCCCTTCCGCAGCCGCGGCCCCGTTCCCGTTCCCGCAGCTCCCCCCGCTCCCGCCCGCCATGATGGCTTCCCGCGTTGCCCTAGAGACGCCATCTACGCATGCGCAGTTGCTACAACCCGGCACAAGCCATATGACTCCGCGCCGCCTCATCCAACCACAGCGCTGCTTCCGGGATCAGCCGCACGCATGCGCAGTTCTATCTCCACGGTTCCGCCGCCAACCCGGCGCTGCTTTCGCCGCAGCTTTGGTGCAGCCCGGTCCCGGTTCCGAGCCGCGGCGTGCCGCTGTCCGGCCACAGCCGGCATCCCCGTGCCCTGTCCCGCCGCTTCCGCCACCACCGGGTCTATACACGGCACCGCAGCAGGCGAAAACTGCAGCGGCTTGCATGTATCCTTCCGCGTCTCTCCCTCTGCGGGATAATTCAGATATAAATACATATATATATGTATTTATATCTGAATTATCTGAATATTATTTATTATTTTTATCTGAATAAATAATATATTTATATATAATTATTTTTAAATTTTATCTGAATTATATTTATATATAATAAATAATATTTATTTATTTTATATATATAATAAATAATATTCAGATAATTCAGATATGTATATCTGAATTATCTGAATATTATTTATTATTTTTTATCTGAATAAAAAGAGCAATTTTCCTCCTTGTCTTTTTGGTGTTTTGGGGGGGATTTTTTTTGACTACAAACTTTTAATCATAAGACAAGAATTGTGTTCTCTCTTGGTGGCTGCCAGGTTGCTGTCAGGCAGGGAAGCCACAGAAAGGTGGATCTGAGGGAGGGCCGGGTGCTGGTTTGTGGCTGTAAATCCCAATTGCTGCATCAGTGTCGGGCTGAGCAGCTTTCCTTCCCAGCAGTGAATAATCCAGATGAGCGCGCTGTGATCTGAGCCCAGCTCGGCTCCAGGTGCTGCCGCAGCCGAGGGGACCCGGCTGGAAGGGGACAGAGGACAGAGGTGCGGCCCACGCTGGCACCCACCCCCGGGGCTGCAGGTCCCCCTGCAGGCTCTGGACAGGTCTGTGCCATCCTGCCCTGGGGCTCTGCCATTCCCGGATCGCACCCACGCTTTGGCTTAAAAATAAGAATGCCTAAACCCCCCTGCGTGCTTTTAGTAAATGCTTTAGTAAATGTTTTTAGTAAATGCTTGTAGAGGCTCTCTGAACCGGGGCGGGTGTGAACAGGGGTGGGTGTGAACAGGGGCGGGTGTGAACAGGGGCGATTGTGAACTGGGGCGGGTGTGAACAGAGGCGGTTGTGAACAGGGGCGGGTGTGAACAGGGGTGGGTGTGAACAGAGGCGGTTGTGAACAGGGGTGGGTGTGAACGGGGGTGATTGTGAACGGGGGCGGTTGTGAACGGAGGCGGGTGTGAACAGGGGCGATTGTGAACAGGGGCGGGTGTGAACAGGGGCGGGTGTGAACAGAGGCGGTTGTGAACAGGGGCGGTTGTGAACAGGGGTGATTGTGAACAGGGGTGGGTGTGAACAGGGGCGGGTGTGAACAGAGGTGATTGTGAACAGGGGCGGTTGTGAACAGGGGCGGGTGTGAACAGAGGCGGTTGTGAACAGGGGCGGTTGTGAACAGGGGCGGGTGTGAACAGAGGTGATTGTGAACAGGGGCGGTTGTGAACAGGGGCGGGTGTGAACAGGGGCGGTTGTGAACAGGGGTGGGTGTGAACAGGGGAGGTTGTGAACGGGGGCGGGTGTGAACAGGGCATTGCCCTCCTGGCTGTGGGAGGGGACAGAGGGGACATCCAGGGACCCTGGGCTGTGTCCCTGTGTCTGTGTGCCCCACGGAGCAGCCCTGGCATGCCAGGACACCGGGCAGAGGGCACTGATGTGCCAGCTGGGGGGGAAGCCGGGGGTCTCTGCGAGGGTCTCCCACCTCCACTCCCCCCGGTTTGTCACCCCTGGGGCTGCTCTCACCCTGCCAGGTGGGGCACAGCCTGGGCACAGCCTGTCGGGCACCGGAGATGCTGTTTGCAGGGCTGGAGGCTCTGCAGCCCCCAGAGTGAGGGGTCCCTGGGCATGGGGGGCAGCAGCAGCTGCTGGAGGTGGAGCCCGAGCCGCTGTAAGCTCATTAGGGGAGGAAAGAAAGCGGCTTTAGGATCTGAGCGAAGGGGCTGGGGCAGGGGGGGATGGTGGGGCTGCTGAGAGGGGCGGGAGGAACGGGGGTCCTGGGCAGCATCACCGAGCCGGGGGCTGCAGGGGCTCCTCATCAGCCGTTCTGGATTATTCTGGTGCTGGGACCCCCATAAAAGCACAGGGGATCCCCTTCTGTCCCGGCTGCCTGCAGGGGCTCCTTATGAGCTATCCCGGGTTATTCTGGTGCTGGGACCCCCATAAAAGCACGGGGGGATCCCCACCTGTCCTGGCTGCCTGCAGGGGCTCCTCATCAGCCGTTCTGGGTTATTCTGCTGCTGAGCCCCCCATGAAAGCACAGGGGATCCCCTTCTCTCCTGGCTGCCCCCAGCCTGCCTGCAGGGGCTCTTTATGGGCTATCCCGGTTTATTCTGGTGCTGGGGTCCCCATCAAAGCACACGGGACCCCCATCTGTGCTGGCTGCTCCCAGCCTGCCTGCAGGGGCTCCTTATGAGCTATCCCGGGTTATTCTGGTGCTGGGAGCCCAATAAAAGCACGGGGGGATCCCCACCTGTCCTGGCTGCCTGCAGGGGCTCCTCATCAGCCGTTCTGGGTTATTCTGCTGCTGAGCCCCCCATGACAGCACAGGGGATCCCCACCTGTCCCGGCTGCCAGGGGGATGCTGGGGCTCAGCTCCGCGGTCACAGTGTCACAGCGGGTGCGGGACCTGGCAGCGCTTCCCCGGCCACCTGCGGCCGCCGCTGCCCGCCCCGGCCGGCGCGGGGAGCTCCCGGCGCTCTCATGCATCTCCTTTAAAGGCCTTCTGTGCTCGGGCTCGGCCCCGGCCGCTCCGAGCGCCGCAGATGCGGCCGCTCTGCCCCGCGGGAGCCCCGCAGCGCCGCCAGGGCCGAGCGCGGGCTCCGAGCCGGGCGCCAGCATCTCCCTGCGCCGCTCGGGAGGATCGGGAGGAGCTCAGGCAGGTAACGATGTCCCGGGAGCGTTCGGGCTGAGGGAGAGCCCGCTCCGGCTGCTCGGGGGGTTCCTGGTGCTACGCCAGCCGTGTGTGTCTCGTTATCTTTGCCATCTGGAACGCAAAGATAAGGAGCGGGTGTCTGCTCGTTATCTTTTCCATCCGGAACGTAAAGATAAGGAGCGGGTGTCTGTGGGGAAGCCGCAGCTGTGATGGATTGAGCGCTCTGCAGCCGGGACCGGCCCTCCGGAGCGCTCTGGTGTGATGAGTTTGGGTGATCCCACCCCGAGTCCCTGGGTGGAGTTATCAGCGATAATTCCCGCTGTACAGGTGTGAAACGGGACTGGCTTTGAAAGGTGCCGAGCGCTGCTTTTTACCAGAGCTGAGCGGGCACCGGGTGATGCTGAGCTGGGCCGAGGCTTTGGACACGCACTTGAAGCAGCTCTCTGTCCCTCCTGATCTCTCCTGAATTTATTGTCCTGGACAAAAAATCCTCCTTCTGTCCTCAATCTGCATGTCCATGGGCACCGGGACAGTCCCTTCACCCTGGGCTGGGAGAGGGACTTTGTGAACTTTCTGAGTCCTTCTCTGACTCTTTAAACACTGTAAAACAGCTTAGATGGGTTCTCCAAGCTCCCTTATGTTTGGGAATCTTTTATATTTGTCTCTCGGGGAGCTCAGGGACTGTCAGGGACAGTCAGGGACTCCAGGTCTGCAGCCTGGAGAGCGGGGGTTGCTGCAAATCCATTTCCCCCCAAGAATGACCCACACCACAAACCCCAAAATGAGGATTGCCCTGGGGAAAGGAAATGGGGGTGGCAGCAGGGCAGTCCCCCCTCTTGTATGAAATTGAATTTCTCCTTTTCCTCGCTCCTTGCCCCCCCAAACCCCTCCAGCCCCCTCCCCAGTCCCAGCGGGCCTCCCCACCTCTTTTCCCACAGTTAAGCAGAGCAGCTCGGAGCTCCTGCCGGGTGAGAAAACGCTTTAAAAATACAACATTTAGCGGCGTTGTCCATCTGCGCGGGGCTGATGCGGGTCTCTCCCATAGGTGAGCTCTCCTGGAGCCCGATGAAGCCGCTCGGAGGGAGCTCGGCGGGACAGGGGGAGGAGGAGGAGGGACCGGGACCGGCCCCGGGGCGGCGGCGGCGGCAGCGGCACCGGGCGAGCGGGCGGCCCAGCCCCTCACCGCGGAGGTACGTGCGCTAAAAACTGCCCCGGAGACGGTGGCGAGGACGGGACGGCGATGGCAGTGCCAGGCAAGGGGCACCGAGCATCGTTGTGGCACCGCGGCTCCTTCTCCTGCTCTCAGGCTCGCCAGGAGGAGAGGGAGAAGCTCTGCTGCAGCCTTTTCCAGAGCCGGGGGAGAAGTTTGGGGGCTCGAACCCTCTCCCAGTTGGGTTCAGACCCTCTCCCAGTGGGCTTCAAGCCCTCTCCCAGTTGGGTTCAGACCCTCTCCCAGTTGGGTTCAAACTCTCTCCCAGTGGGCTTCAAGCCCTCTCCCACTTGGGTTCAGACCCTCTCCCAGTTGGTCAAACCCTCTCCCAGTCGGTGCTGGGCTCCAGAGGGCTCTTTGCTCAGCAGCCCCTGTGCCCTGCCCTCCCTGGTGTCCCCCAGCATCACTGAGCAGGGATGCTGCAGAGCTGCCAGACCTCCTGGCACCCAGGACAGGGTTTAGGGGTGATAAACCTGTCCCAGTGCGCTTTTAGGGGTGCCTGCCATGCCCATGGGGTGCTGTGAGATGGTGCCTGCCCGGGCTCTGGCTGTGTTTGTTGCGGTGCTGGAAGGGGCCGGCTCGCAGCCTGAGCGAAAAAAAAAAAAAGAAAAAAAGGCAAAAAGCCGTGCTGAGCACGGCAGTGGCTGCTGAGCACGGCAGTGGCTGCTGGTGACTCATTGCTGGCTGGAAACGGCCCCGGACGGGGACGGAGCGGGCAGGGGAGGATGCTCGGGAAGGAGCCAGGTCCGGAGCAGCCCCGTGGGGGAGCAGGGGGGTGGGATGCTGCCGGTGCCTCCTGAGTTTCTCCAGGGTTCAGCCGGGATTCCCTCCGCAGGGAGCAGCAGGCAGAGCTCTCCGGGCTCCCCCCGTCTCCGGATGAAGGTAAGGGCAGCCTGGGATGGGCTCACAAGGGTGGGGTTTCCACCAGCAGCAGCAGCAGGAGGGCTCCCCTGGCCTGGCAGCACCAGCCTGCAACCCCCGAGACCCCAACCCCATCCCCATCCCCTGGGTTTGCCTCACCAGCTGTACCCCACCCTCTGCACTGCATCCATTGCCCTCCTCCCCTGCTCTGGCCCAGCCTGGCTCCAGCTCCCTGAGTCCCACAGGGGTATTTTGGGGGGTACCTGGCAGTCCCCTGGCAGCCTGCAGGCTGCAGAAGTGCCAGTGGCAGTTTTGGGGGTCTCTCCTGAGGCGGTGTCAGGCTGGGGAGGGGTCCCTGCTGCCCAGCTCCCTTTCTGTCCCCAGGCAGGATGAGCAGTGCCCAGGGACAGCCAGGTGGGGATTTGGATTTGGATTTGGATTTGGCCAGGAGCGAGCAGAGCGTGGAGCAAACCAGCCAGGTGAGATGGAGGGGAGGGGACAGCTGGGGACAGACCCTGCCTGGTTCCTGGGGCTCAGGCAGGCCCCAGCCCCTCTGTGCTGCTCCTCTGGGGTGCTGTGCAGAGAGCTTTGCCCCAGCATCCCCTTTGTGCCCCTCAGGAGCCGGGCAGGGCTGGGCAGGAGCAGCCTGTGCACCCTGGGGACAGTGACAGCACTAAAGGAGGTGAGGGTGAGTCCCCATCCCACATCCCAGCTGGGCCCCCTTTGGGGGAGGTTTGGAGTAGCTGGGGATGAGCATGGGAACGTGTTCTGATGGAATTCATCTCCCCTGGCGGGGACATGGGCAAGGGGAGATGGCCTGGGGGGAGCCAGAGCCCCCCTGATGCTGGGGGAAGGATTGGGAGGGTTCCAAAGCACGGGCAGCACCCCCTGGAAGGACAGGAGGGCAGAAGGAGGAGGGAAGGCCCAGGGAAAGCCCTCATGTGTAGTCTCCTGTGGCCCCACTGCCTTCCTGCAGATGCAGAAACCCCGGAGGAGCCGCTGCTGAGCCTCCCCAGTGAGCTCTCCGTGCTGGACAGGCTCGGCTTGCACAGGTGAGAGCAGGGAGCACCTGCATCCCTCAGGCCAGGGGGGTCCCAGGCCACAGCAGGGCTCAGAGATTGGACTCCCCTCCTTTTCCATTGCTCAAGAGCTGCTGTCCACACAATGGGCGCTTGCCTCCCCCCTTCTCAGGGTGGCTGGCACCCCTGGGAGCAGGGCAAGGCCATTCTCAGCCTGCAGCCCCCATCCCTGACAGCAATTCTCTTTCTGCAGGGTGGCTCTGACCGAGCAGGATCTGGAGGTGAGGGCTGCTGGGGGCCCTGGGTGGGCTGGGGAAAGGGGACACCAGGACAGGGACACCGTGCTGGCTCACTGTGCCACGGCTGTGCCCTGCTCCCTCAGGCACCGCAGGGCCCTGGCAGCCACCTCCCAAACCCTTTCCCAGAGATGCTTTTGGCACTTGGGGGCAGCTGCATTTCCGTGAGCGTGTGCTCTGCGTGCCCAGCAATCCCACAGAGCGCTCTGCAGCTGCTGAAGGGCGCCCTTGGCCGGGGAGCCTCGCTAATAAAAATCATTTCCCCGCGAGTGCCAGGGCTGAGTCAGGCTCAGCCACCAGCCAGGGCTGGGCTGGCGTCTGCCGGGCTGTGCTCTTGCCAGGAGGGCTCAGGATCTCGTTATCAGCTGCCTGGGGGTGTTATCAGCTGCATCTCCCTGGGGACTGTCCCCACTTGCAGCAGCCTAAGGGTGCTGGGGCAAGGCAAGTGTCGATTATCCTCAGCACTGCCCCGATGGTGGCACCTGGGAGGTCAGTCTGGCCTTGGGGACAGCAGCACGTGGCCCCGGTGCCTTTTCTCCAGCCCCCGTGTCCCACCTGTCACCCCGCAGGCAGCCTTTGCCCACCTGGCCCTGGCGTTTCGCTGCGACGTGTTCACCCTGCAGCAGCGGGTGCAGGTGGAGAGACGGGCACGGGATGCGGCGGAGGAAAACATCCAGGAGGAGCTGGGGCAGTGCCGGGCTGCCCTGGAGGTAGGTGGGCACCAGGGCAGGGGGCTGGCACGTCACCCAGCCCCAGAGGGGGTTGGACGGCTCAGAGGGGCAGCTGCAGCAGCTCCATCCATTCCCCCCACAGAGGCTGGGCCGATCCTGTGCCAGTGCAGGCTGCAAGGAGACGCTGGAGCAGCTGCAGCACAACCTGGCCGTGCTGGCAGCAGCCGTGGAGAGGGCAACCAGCGCTGCAGAGAAGCTGGGGGCTGTGCACCAGGTGTGTCACAGCCCAGTGTGGGAGCGATGGAGGTGCTACAGATGGGCTTGGGGATGATGAAGCCTCATCCCTGGGCTTGCTGGGGTTTGTTCCTCCTCCTCACAGTTCTTGACCTCACTTTTGTGCTTACCAGGGTGCAAGGGATCCATCCACCCACCCCTGGGAGTGGGAAGGGGATGCACCTTGGCCAAGGCTTTGCACAGGCACGTGGGGCTTCAAGCAGCTCTCTGTCCCCCTAGATCTCTCCTGAATTTCTTGTCCTGGACAAAAAGATTCTCCTTCTGTCCTAAATCTGCGGGTCCATGGGCACCGGGACAGTCCCTTCAACCCTGGACAGGGAAAGGGACTTTGTGAACTTTCTGAGTCCTTCTCTGACTCTTTAAACATTGTAAAACAGCTTAGATGGGTTCTCCAAGCTCCCTTCTATTTGGAAATGTTTTCTATCTGTCCCTCCCTGGCTCTCCCTGTGTACTGCAGCCTTAGGCAGAGCCCTGTTGGTTGGGGCATACAGCTGTTAACTGTCATGGCATCAAATCCCTTCTGTCCAGTAAATGGGAGGTGCTAGCTGAATGAAAGCACCTGAGTTGCATTTAGGGGATGCAGGGTAATGGCCTGTGGACTTTAGCAGAAACTAAAAGGGTTTTTAACTCTGGTTTAAGGCTTTGAAGACCTTCAGTTTAGCTAATCCTAAATTTCTTAGATAATGGTAAGGATTACAGGGGAGATAGGAAGGGCTCCCAGGCACGGGGAGGCACTGGCAGGGCTGGCTCCTCGGGAGGTTTAGGAGCCCTGACCCCCGTCCTGGCTGGCTGCAGGAGGCCAGGATGAGCCGGGCAGCAGAGGTGATGGTGCAGCACGTGGAGAACCTGAAGCGGCACCACCAGCGGGAGCACGCGGAGCTGGAGGAGATGAAGCGCCTGATCCAGCAGAACTCCCGCAACCGGCAGCTGGCAGAGAGCCAGGGTGAGGTGGGCTCTGCCCCCGGGGCTGGGCACGGCTGGCACACTGCAAACCTGCAGCACTTGGCCCCCAGCCCCTCTTTGGGGCAGCGTGACCCCGCACTGCAGAGCCAGGGGTGCTGGGGGGAACAGCTGATGGGGCCGTGAAGGGAACAGCTGGGGACACTTGTGAGGGGACACTGGGACAGCAGATCAGTGTGGCAGCAGGTGCTGGTGGCCACAGAGCCATAACCCAGCTGGGAATGCAGGGCAGGGGGGCCCCGGGCACAAAAAGGACTCTGTTCCTGAGCACCAACCCCACAGGTGCCACTGTGTCCCCCTGCCTGGGCACCACCTGTGCCAAGCACAGAGCACATGGCCAGGACAGCTTTGTGTCTGTCTGTCTGTGCATCAGCCCCATCCTTGTGCTGGGGGATGATGTAAGGCAGCTTCTCTCTGCTCTCAGATGATGTGGAGCCACGGCTGAGACCTCACCCCCTGAAGAGAACTTTCCAGCAGGTAACTGGTCCCAGTTCAGGAGCCACTGCCTTCCCATGCCCAGCTGGCTGTCCCCACACAGCCCCTTGTCCCCAAACAATGCCACTGCAGCCAGCTGCTTGCTGCAGGGAAGATCTGCTGGGATGAAGCAGAATGCAGCTTCAGAGAGCTGTTGGCAGACAGACAGGACGCCCAGCAAGCTGAGGGCTGCCCGTGCGAGAGATCTCGGGCAGATCCTTCTTCCATTGCAGGGTCACAGGCTTGGCTGTTCTTTAGCACCTCCTTGAATCCCACACTGATCCAGAGGCAGGGCAGGGGCTCAGGCAGCCCCAGCAGCAGAAATGACAGGCACAAACCTCTCGGCTTTGACCTTCCCTGGCTTTCCAGCTTCCCCTTAGCTCCAGGGGGAGCTGGCAGTGTCCCGTGCTGTGCCTTACCCGTGCTGGGGAGGTGATGGGGAAGGAGGAGGTGAGAAGCAGCCGCACAGAGCTCACCCCCACCCCTCTGTTTCAGGGGTCTGCCCGCCGCAGGGTCAGCATCGCCGTCATCCCCAAGCAGCTCCTGGTAAGGATGTGTGGGGTGGGGACAGCCAGAGGGGCTGTGTCCCCACCCTGGGTGCCACTGGGACTCCGTGTCCCCACTGATGATCCCACCTTGTGTCCCCAGCCTCAGTGCCACTGGGGCTCTGTGTCCCCAGCGTGGGTGCCACTGGGGCTGTGTCCCCAGCCTGGGTGCCACTGGGGCTGTGTCCCCAGCCTGGGTGCCATTGGGGCTGTGTCCCCAGCCTGGGTGCCACTGATGTCCCCACTGATGCTCCCCCCTTGTGTGCCCAGCCAGGTGCCAGCCCTGAGAGCCGAGCAGCCCCAGCAGGTGACCTGGAGCCAGAGGGGGCCCAGCGCTGGCCCAGCACCCCCAGGTAACTGCGCTGGGTGGCACAGCTGATCCAGCTGTCCCCATGTGGCACAGCACTGACCCCTCCTCTCCCTCCAGGAGCGAGCTGGAGCCACAGGGCCAGCACAGCGCCGTGACTGGGAAGCTGGTGGCAGAGGCAGAGGGCAGAGGATCCAGCACAGGGAATGAGGAGCCAGAGCAGCTTGGGCTGACGTGAGCAGCACCCTGGGTGTGCCCAGCGTGCCCCCGTGGCTGCTGGCCTCTCTGTGCTCCCCAGGTGGCCAGAACTTGGGCAGGGGATGGGGGATTTAGGGGTGAAAAGCTGGGATGTTGTCTGGCTGCCTCAGCTCAACCCCACCAGGGCTCAGTTTTGGCAATACCCCCCTCAGGCTTGTTCACTTGGGCTTGTAAAACGTTTGCCAGGGAGTTTGGGGGCTGAGTTAAACGTCCTCCTTGTGCCCACATGGGGTGGAGGTGGGATTTGCTCTCCCTCATGGATGACAAGTGTCCCTGGTCACCTTCTCCCCAGGTCCAAGGGCTCTGCAGAGGAGCTGTGGCGTCCATGGCTCTTCCTCCCACAGCACTACTGGGTTTTCTTCTGGCTGCTTCTGCTCAGCATCGCCTTCCTCCTCCTCGTCCGTGCGCTGGAGCTGCAGAGGCTGCAGCCTGCAGCATCACCCAAGGCCTAGCTGGACCAGGGAGGGGGAGCTGAGAGCCATCTCTGCTCCTTCCCCACGGCCCGAAACACCAAACCCCTAGAATAATAAAATGGGAGGAAAAATGGGGGAATTGTAATGGCGGAGCAGGGGCTAGGATCTAAGGCAGGAGCTGTGGTAGCATCTAAGGTAGGGTTGGCACCTCCGTGTAACCATGAAGGGCTCAGGGAGCTGCAGCACCTCCATATAACCATGAAGGGTTCAGGGAGATGCAGCAGCTCTCAGTGATGCTGTAATTGCCTATTCTCAGCACCTCCATATAACCATGAGGGCTCAGGGGGCTGCAGCAGCTCTCACTGATGCCGTGAGTTGCCTCTTCTCAGCACCTCCATATAACCATGAGGGCTCAGGGGGCTGCAGCAGCTCTCACTGATGCCGTGAGTTGCCTATTCTCAGCACCTCCATATAACCATGAAGGGTTCAGGGAGATGCAGCAGCTCTCAGTGATGCTGTAATTGCCTATTCTCAGCACCTCCATATAACCATGAGGGCTCAGGGGGCTGCAGCAGCTCTCACTGATGCCGTGAGTTGCCTATTCTCAGCACCTCCATATAACCATGAAGGGTTCAGGGGGCTGCAGCAGCTCTCACTGATGCTGTGAGTTGCCTGCTCTCAGCACATCCAGGGGTGCAGATGTGTTCCCACACATCCCCTGCGCTGGGGACAGCCCGGTTTGCTTTAGAGCCGTGTCCCTCAGTGCCACCACACGCCCTCAGCCCCTGCTGTAATTCACATTATTGCTCCTTTTCTGCTGGGCTGGAAGGCGCGGGTCGGCGATCAGCAGCACCACGAAGGGCTCACAAACAGAGGGAGCTCTTTCCGACGCACACGCCGCGTTTCCGTGTCCGCCCCAGCCTCGCACGGGTGGGTTCCATTCCCCCGGAGCCAGCGGCTTTGCGGGGACCGGCAGAGCCCGGCCGAGCTCCATGGTGGGGGTTCAGCTCCGGGATGCCCAGGAAGGGCTCGGAGGGCAGGGATGGAGGTGCTCACCCTGCTGGCTGCGGGTGACTCAGGGTGACCGATGTGACCCACGCCCCTGTCCCCGTGTCCCTGAGTCACCGGCACAGCCTCGTGGCGAGCTGTCCCCGTGCGTCACAGCCCCCCCGGCCGTGACACCCGGCCCGGCACCCCGCGAGTGTCCGGCAGCGCCCCGAGGACAGCAGACACCCCAAAAAGCGCCGGCCAGCAGCGAGATCGGTCACGCCGGGGGCTGCCCAAGGTACCTTCACCCCTCTGGGGCCATTCCCATGTTGGAAACGCAACCCCAGAAGTTTCCATGCGAGCTGTGGGGGTCCGGAGCTGGCACTGGGTGGGTCCCCCCAACCCCGCCCCGGTCCTCCGGTGTCCCCAGCGCCCTCCGGTGTCCCCAGCACTCTCCGGTGTCCCCAGCACTCTCCGGTGTCCCCAGCGCCCTCCGGTGTCCCCAGCGCCCTCCTGGCCGGGGCAGCAGCACAGCAGCACAGTGGGAAGGGAGTGAAGGGGTTTGCCTTCATCACCGGAGTCTTTTTGCTTGCTCGGCGAAAAGTCTCGTTTCTCACCCAGAAATACAACCAAACCCGGCTGGGGTTGCGCTGTGCCGCCCGTCCCGCTGCTCCGAACCTGCCGGTGCCGATCCTGCAGCGGCACAAAGGGGGGCCCGGGGCCGCCCCTCCCGGCACCGCCCGGCCCGGGCCCCCGGCCGCGGGGGAGGGTCGGTGGGGCGGCCGAGGGGAGGGGAAGGCCGAGGAGGGGAGGGCAAAGGAGAGGGAGGAGGGCCGGGCCGGCCGGCAGCTGCTGCTGGCAGACGGTGCGCTCGTTTCCTGCTCGCTATCGCCCGGCTGCGCCCAGCTCCGGTGCCGCCCCTGCCCCGCGCCGTGCCTCAGTTTCCCCCCGCGGAGGTGAGTGCAGGGTGAGGACGGGCACAGCATCCCTGGGCGTGGGGAGGTCGGGGCTCTGCTGCTCCCCGTGTGCCCCCGCTCGGTGCCGGCATCCCCGGTGCCGCTCCCGCTGCTGCGAGCATCGCTGGCAAAACGGGGCTGACAACACCGAGCGGCGATTCTGCCCCCGAACCCGTGTCCTGCTCGTCCCCGGGACGCTCCGGGGCACGGTAGCGCTTTTTCTCCGGTGCCCCCTCCCCGCAGCCTCTCCCCGGCTCCATCCTCGCTGCTGCTCCCCTCCAGCCGCTGACCTGCGCTGCCCTCGGGACAAAGGGGAAAGAGAGCAGTGCCTGCTCCTCCTCCTCCTCCTCCTCCGGTGATGAGAAGGGTGGGGAAGAGCTTTGCTGAGATCCGTGAGGGATGCTCCGTGCATCATCACGGAGATGTCTCTGCCGCAGATGTGCTTTGGGGTAGAGGAGAAGTACGAAGAGGAAAATGATGTGTGGGGTGTGAAACCTGGCCGTGACCAGACTTCCTCTTTTTACTGAAATTCAGCTGCAAGAGGCAGGTCCTTCCGTGGGCTGGTGCTGGGCAGGGGAACAGGCTGAGCAGCACAAACAGGGGGCACGTTTGCTTCTCCCCAAGTGTTGTCTGTGCCCAGGGACGTGGCCAGGCTGTGGTGAGTGGATCCCTGGCAAAACTCAGTGCAGGTTTGTCCCCTCTCCTCAGCCCTTCCCCTCACAGCTCCGTGCTGGGGCCTTGCAAAGCTGGGGTGTGCTCGTGCACCCACAGCCCTGCCTCACACCAGAGGAGCTGACAGGGATTTTTCCCTCCCTCCGAGGATTAAAACCCACCCAAATCAAGGCAGGGGTGGTCTCCCTGCCCAGTCCCACACCTGGGATGTTTCTCCTGAGCACAATAACGTTTGTAAGAGCTCCCAGTGCCTTCACCCCTTCCTGACACCCTCCCAGCTCAGCTGGTGGTTGGAAGCAAGGGCTTCGGCCAAGCTGTGGGGTGGTCACAAGAAACCCTCCATCCTGCCCCTGGCCTTTCACTGGAGGGGCTCTCCTGGGGTCCAGCCCAGCTCAGGAGGTTTGGGTCCCAAACCCAGGACAGCCCTGTCCATGCTGGGACCTGGATCCCAAACCCAGGACAGCCCATCCATGCTGGAACCTGGATCCCAAACCCAGGACAGCCCTGTCCATGCTGGGACCTGGATCCCAAACCCAGGACAGCCCTGTCCATGCTGGGACCTGGATTCCAAACCCAGGACAGCCCATCCACACTGGAAGCCAGGGCAGCAGCAGCAGCATTGAGGCAATCTGCTGAAAATCCTCCCAGCTTCCATCAGCTCTGGAGCTGTGTCCTTTCCCAATGTATTTCCATGTGCCTGGGAGCCACGTGAGCTCCCAAGCACTTTCCCCACCCTCTCCCAAGGGGCTGCTGCTCCTGGCAGGGCCAGAGGGAGACCCTGACCCAAGGTGGGATGGGGGTCCCTGCTCCGGGGGTGCTCCCCGTGTCCAGAGCCGGGTGAAGTCCCCACAGACATTTCTGCAGCCAACCACAGCTGACATGAGATGAGTCAGGGCTGGCTGCAGCCCCCCCTCCTCCCCCTGCTTGCAGGAACAGCGTGAAGGGAAGAAATGCAAGAGGCTTTGATGGCAGGAGCAGAGCACAGGCTGTGCCCTCCTCCCCTGCCGCCGGCCTTTGTGGGCTCCAAGCTGGGGTTTTGTATCCCGCCCGCAGGAGCTGAGCTTTCCTAGGAGTTTCTGACCTTGCCTGCAGTTGTGGAGGGGGTTTGAGCGTGCGGGATCGCTGGCAGGATAATCCTTCTGTAGGGAACTGTGCAACACAAGGCTTGTTGTTCTGCCTCCCCTGAGCCTGCCTGCCAAGGCGTAGGGGCTGCAGAGCTTTCCCAGGCACCAAGTGCCCCTGGCACCGTGGCCAGGGGGAATCAAGGCTGAGATGAGCTTTTCCCAGAGCCAGGGGCTGCTGGAGATGCTCCCTGGGGTTGACCTTGGCAGGTGCCAGTGCAGGGACTGGAGCTCCTAACAACCCATCTGCACGGGGCACTGCTGCAGTGGCACAAGGATGGGTGAGAGCGCTGCAAACTCTCTGGGGATTTCTCAGCGCTGCCTCAGTTTCCCCAGGCTCGTCCTGTCTCACTAGCAGCACCCAGGGGAGGAGCAGGAATCTGTCCTCAGGCCTGTCAGGAATGCACGGGGCATGTCCCCTGTCCCTGCCACTCTGCTGTGTGCCAGCCCCCGCCGGGTGCCTTCCTGTCTGCCCAGGAAGGAAGGGGTTAACGCGCCCGGATTTCCTGAGTGCGATGCTGGAAGGGAAGGTGACCTGCGGAAGGGAACGGAGGGAAGGTGACCTGCAGAACTGCTTTGCAAGGCACGTTCTCGGTGTCGGGAAAGCCCTGAGTGATGCTGAACCAGAAACCCAGCTAGAATTCAGCCTTTCCGGACAAAATTTAAGTTCTTAAGTAACTCCTTCCTCCTGCGGGCTGCCTGATTTATTCATGACATCCTTGCCCACTGCAGGGTGGCCCCGGGCGCTGCCACGTGCCCAGGATGGCGCTCAGGGCGAGAGGGCAAAGAGCTGCGGGTCGAAGGTGGAGCTCTGCCTCTCGCCGAGCTTTTCCCGCACATCCTCCTTGGCAGCACCGCGTGTGTGCTGGGCTGGGGGAGCCTCCACAGCCCTGGGCTTGGCCACAGTGGCTGGAAAAGGCAAAGTTTTGGATTTGGTGCTCAGGCTGGCAAGACAGAGGGCAGAGGATGGTGGTCAGGGCAGTGCTGGGAGTGGGAGAGAGATGCAAGAACTGGTACCCTGGGAGATGCCAGGGGGTTTTGGGAGGGAATGTGCTGCATCCCTCCTCCCACAGCTTCTGGTGCTGCTTGTAGGGAGATTTGACTTTTATTTGATTTCCTCACCGGCGCTTCCTCCGTGCCAATCTGCTCCCACCCTCTCCAGGAGTGGTGGAAGGGGAGGTGGGGGAAAAGGTCACCCCATTCCAGCCCCAGCCCCAGGGCTGCTCCTGCTGCTTTCTGCAGCAGCTGTGGGGCTGATTCCTGAAGCCAGGAGCTCCCTCCCATCCCCTCGGAGTGAAGGCAAGGCTGTGGAGGAAGGAAGTGGTATCTTTGCTCCGAAACAGCTCCCTCTGCTCTTGGCTCTTGCAGGTATCCGCT